GCAGAAAACCAAGTATCTTCAGATATGTTCTACAGAGCTCAAGAACTAATGTACAAAGAAGGGACGCAGGAGGGTGACATTCTTAGAAGGGAGAAAAAGAAGGGGAAGAAGACAAAACTGGCATGTACAGCGGTAGTGGTCTGATAGCTATTACTGCATCTTTTCAGCTCCTTTGTTTAATTTCATTCTCCAAAATGCCTGATTTTGTAACATATGGGAATCTTTTAAACTATTCACGGGCCTCAGGTTTATTTTTTAAAGAATAATGTATGTATTTCCAGTATAAGTGGAAATCAGCAAAGTAAAAAATATATTCAGTAGTATAAGTAGTTGTTCTTTCGGTAAAACTCTATTGTCAGTGCTTCGGTTTTCCACGAGATGGCAGCAACTACAAACGAGCAAAACAGCCTCTTGAAAAACTGTCTGCTGAAGTGTGTGTGTGTGAGTGTGTGTGTGTGAGTGTGTGTGTGTGCGTGTGTGTGTGTACGTATATGTTTGGAGTATGGTAAAACCCAAGAGGGCAGGCTCTGTTTCTTCTCACAGAGCACAAATGCTTGCCCAGGTTTGACTCCTGCTTATGTTTGTCCCTAATAAGTAGAGAATATCTTTAATGCAACTTTTCTTTAGACATTTATAAATATATAAATAAATCCACTTGAAAGGATGAAGTTATTTCTGTAGTTGGTTCTACTTTTTTTGAGATATGCCATTATTTCAACTTGAGACTTAAGATTTTTGGTCTGCACAAATTTTGTAAGTCTTCTAAAAGTTTTATTATTCCTGGGAAAACGAATAGTTTAAGAAGTATTAACATTTACATTTTTGGAATTTATTTTTAAAAATCTTGAATATATGAGGAAACTTAGAGGTATTTCTGTAGCTTTAAGAAAAATGGAGTCTTGATTAATTAATAAAAATATTGTAATGAAATAACTGATTGTTGGCTCTGATGCCACAGTTATGGTTAAAGTTATCAATATTAGGTATATAAAATATGTATGAACATGTCACTATTAGACAAGAGTGAAAATTAGAAAACTGAATGATGTGAAGAAGAGACTCCTAATGCATAAATACATTATTGATAATAACTTAGCAAATGAACAAAGGGAGCAGAATACTTTTAAAATGTTTTTTTTTAGGTCTTGTTTGTCAACCAGTGTACTCATGCAGTATTATTTTTGTCTAAACACGTTTTACTTTGAAGTTGATTCTTCTTTGAGCCATAGATTGGACTAGTTTATCTCAAGGGTCATTTCCAACTTAAATTTTTGGTTTCTGGGATCCTAAACAATGAATATGGAGTTCAGCTAATGAATAATGGGTTAAAGACTAGCGGTAGCTTATGTGCTGCATCTGAAAGGAATACAATAAAACTTTGGTAGCTATGTCTTTCTTTTGGGCTTGAAAGGTAGAGGTTAATTGATAGTGCTGATCAATTGGACCATGATTGTATGTGATTGAAATTTTGGGTTATAGTTTTTTGTTTTAGTGCACTACAGCCCTTCATAAGTTTATATTTCAAACAGACAGCTACTGTCTGAGATGTTTCAGTAGCTGTCAAATCACAGGGTACCTGATTTGCACTCAGTATAGGTTTCTAAAATGCAATAAGCTTCAGTAAATTCACAGACAGAAATGTGAAAGAAAAATGTTAATAAAAAAAACATGCTTGTG